AATCGATCCTAGTGATTGACAGCTTCATAACTGGTTTTGGGACTCATGCTTCCAGCTCCCATCCTATATCACCAAGGGAGAGCTGAGAGTGCATTGGACTGTGCAAAGTACCATGAGGCCGAATAGTCTCTGGGGACCAATTCTTTAAAGGTAGCCTTACTTGAGAGAATGGAAAGGAAAGTAAGGCATGGGGCTCTCCCTATACCTCTTCATTCCAGGGAAGTTGAAAACATGTAAAGGATGTAAAGTTGATGTCTGTAAATATTTTGAATTATTCCCAATCAAGCCATACACTTCAGTACCTCTCACCTGTCTTAACTGTTCAGGTGTACAATGTACAGTTCAATGTATCGTTGTCTGTTGTCTATATGTACATAAAAGCTATTTTATATAGGAGTTTATTGTATATATGAGATGTATCTTTCCATGTTTGCAATTGATTTATTTTTATATGGGCGTAGAATACATTATGTTGTTTATTTCCTTTGCTTTGGGAAGTCAGGATTGGAGTTGGTGTTGCACTGCATATGCCCTGCTGACAGACAGAGACAGACAGAGCACAGACAAAGACAGAAGGATCTAGTCTACAACAGGACACGGCTCACTTTCTGAGAGAGAGGGGTCATCCTGTTTTAAAAAAAAAAAAAAGGTCAAGTGGCTTTTTGTACAAGTGTTCTGTTACTTTACAATTTTGTTAGTCTATTAAAAAACAAACAAAAAAAACTTTTTTTTATTTATGTACCTCTCAGTTGGTCATCATCGCAAGGCAGATCCCACTGGGCTGCTATCACGGGTCAAATATGATTTAAAATTTATGATACCTTTATGACAATATTTGTGTGTGGTGAGTGTTCTGGCATCACTAAAATCATGTCCACACAAATTAATTTAGACCAGGTCTTTTAAAGAAAATGTGCTAAATGTGCATTGCACTCACAAATGCATAGTTTAACACATTATGACCTACAAAATACCAAAGTGTCTTTAATATCTCTATTTAAATTTAACATGTCAAGCACCTGTACTGAAATCAAAATCAGAAATCACTGGTAACTTATAGAACTTGTCCACTATGTGCATATGTATTGGCTTTGCATTGTGACAATGGTTTCTTGCAGTTTTGTTTCGTGCAAAGATATGCAGTGAAAGGACACCTGGCAGTGTGTGAAGGTCAAGGTACTGACAAAGTAAGATGTTGACTGACAATTTGGTGGGATTAGTCAATTTTAGTTTCATTAGCCATCTGTGTCTATTTTGTACATTACACGCACATACTCGATGCTAACTGTGAAGGACAATCAGATTCACAAAGCAATGGACATAGAGTAGGGTCACTCAAACTGAAAGTTACTTATTTAAATTGTGCCAAGTACATTTTGTCTATTTTTGTCTCGTTTGATATGCAATCCTGAGTATTCTTTGTTCAAAGTTTTATTTTGTTCGCCAACATTTTATTTATTGTCAATGTTGCTGTTTGTTCATGCCAAGAGCGCTTTATGGGAATGTGACTTTTTTTTTTTTCTTGGTGTGATGTCGCATTTGCATTTCTTAAATAAAACTGGTCTTATAGAGGCCGCCTAGTGAAAAGAAATAAAGCAACACTGGATTCTTCTCATCCACAAACCTCTGTGATCAGTTCTGTTAATTTTGTTGTGTCCTTTTCATCTTGTCTTTTTATCGCACCTGACATTTCCCATTGATCCATTTATGTTAGACCTACTTCACCTATTTTTAAAACTTCATTTTATCAAGTTGGACAAACTATCATTTTGTTCTGTTTTAAACCTAGAAGTAACAAAATCAGAGCAGTCAAAATGTTCTTATACTTAGTGTGTCTGTATATGTATTGAATGAGGTGGAGTAAACATTAGAAAGCAACTACTTACTGACAAGTTTTAGACATTTCAGCGGTTCCTCATGAGATGGGCAGACTGAGTAACGCTTTGCAATATAACTAAACTGAATTTTGCCATCCAAATGAGTGATACCAAAGACAACGGACCTCATTTACCAACAGTGTCTACGCACAAATCTGGGATTTATTAATATTTTCTTAACTAAATTTTTTCATACTCTGCAAACAAATTTAGAACTACCTCAGACCATACATATGTACAAATGATGAAGCTGCAGCTGTCTTAAAAATGTAAACGTTTTAACTAAAACTGCATTAACTAAACAACCACATAAATAATGCCCTTTCATCCAAAATATTCAACTATCCCAGTCCCAGTGTGACAGTTCTAGCTTCAAAGTATATGAGAGTATGTATACTTTTCATTGACTTGGCCCATAATGATCAGCTGCTCCTATCAATCCCTAGAGCCATACAATTATGCATATATAGTCAGTTTTAACTGGTAGCCACCTGGTCTATTTACAGCCTATTAAAAGGCAAGCCAGATATATACAGTAAATGATTCCAATTTAACTCCAAGCAAGTGTTGAGACGGAGCCTTGCTGGACGATACTGCAGCCTGTTCCTTCGAGAGAGGGCACGTCTCCTGGGACCAACACAACATATTTGAAGAGAGTGACAAATTGCTTATCAGCCATTCCTGACAAGATTTTGCTGTAACTATGCAATTCCCTAAAACAGCATAGGCCTGAGACACACCAAGCTGTTGGTAGGCTGTCGGTGAGCATCTATCAGCGCTCGTCGTCCCGGTGTGTCCAGCACTTTTGACATTAGTCAGACCATGTTGGCAGCTTTTCAGCCAATTCTGCATGCTGAATCGGAGTCGGACCTAGTTTGTGAAAACGACGACTCTGATTGGCTGTTCAGCTTAGCGAATCATTGCCCCTTCAGCCTGTCACTGATCCATGATTTAACACATTTAGTGCAGTTTCTCCTTTTTTTCACCTCCACAACCTCCTGTAAAAGTGTAGAAAGGCGCTATACAAGTATAAGACCATTTACCATTCTTTCACAACCAAAAAAAACCAAGGGCAGAGAATGGCAGTGCCATTTGTAACTTCTTTTCAGACATATTCTTGATTACAATCGGCTATAAGCAGCGGCTGTATTGAGCCAGAGCTGCTTTGTTTACAGGTTGTGTTTCTGCTGTCTAGGTCTTCTTGTTTCCCTTTCTGAATGGTGGATACAGATACCACCACCTACTGGTAGGGAGAGTTAATTTTCTCATTTAGATGCAGAAAATACACGTAAATGCTACTGAAGCATGATTCCATTCAATCTACACTGAAAGCGAAACATGAGCGGGGTGTTCTGTGTGTTTAAAATCATCAGAACAGCTGTCTATCTGAAAACAGGACAGCAGCGGGATAAAGAGTCTATCAAGGCCGACCAACAACACAAGTGTACTGGACACAAATGGTTATCATGTAAGATCAGTGAGAAGAAATCACGTTTTTATGTAGACTTTTGATTTATTGATTTTATTGATTTTCCCCAGCTCCTTATAGAGGGAGAAAGTGAAACTCAAGCAGCCTGACCAATCGTAACAGAAAACAACAGGATTTGTGTGATTTAAACAGCTGACTGTTGAGATTATGCTTCAGTAAACATAGAGGGGAAAAAAATAGACATTAAGCCTAAAAAACATGAGGAGGAAGATATGTGTCTCAATCATTCAGTGTGAATCGACTCATTTGATATAACAGAATTCTATCTGCAGCATGAGATGTGTGTAGAAAACGCTTCCAGGTTGTGTTACCAGAAAGAACAATCCAGTCCAAGTGCACGGGTACTTTTTTTTATGCCTCTTTAAAAAGAAAGGAAAAAACAGGAAGTGCAAAAGTTCAGCCACTGATGCATATTGAGTAACTAATTCAGGCAGCAATGAAAATGCACATCAGTATCATTAACTACTAGAAGTCAAGTCAAAAAGGACAAGGAGTCTTTATGACAAGCTCACACTCTACTGGTTATTCCTATCTATATCACATGGCTGATTTCTCCCTTAACCATCCCCCATATCACTCTGCTATAGTTTCTTATTACTTGATGTGGTGACAGCTTTTGCCGTGTTGTGCATTATATATATCACATACCTCATTTATACGTGCATGCTGGGCTTTGTTCTTTATACGCCTTCGGGAGTTTTAATGTGCTCCTCTTAGAATTTTGAGGCTACTTGGATTCATTTGTAAAGCACCATCAAGCACAAAGCCCCTTTTCTGCCAAATACTTTTGTTTGTTGTGATAAATCCTTTGATGTAAGTGTGTCTGGCTGAACTAAGTTTATGTGAGCTTTGAGTTCCTTAGTAAATAGAAACAGATCTGTCACCACATCAAATAAAGCCTACTGGGTTTAACTGGAAAGCTCTGTAAATATGATGCGGAATGATTCCGAGATAGATGTGAATTTTCCTGATAAAGTACACTTGCCTATTTTCTTTTCAAATGAATGGGTTCTTTGTTGGTGCATCTGTGGGGTGGTAGAAAACCATGAGATAGGTCCAAAATTTAATTAAATCTACTATTTTGTCCTAAGCTTGTGAACAAGCCTGTCAGCATTCAGTGTGTTAATGTTTTCAACGTTTGTTAAATGTGTAATTTTTGTGCCTTTGCCAGAATTTTTACACACAAAACTGTGGTATAGAGTCAGATGTTTATAGTGGATATATGAATAAATATCACAAGACTTTTTTCAATTTTAAGTGCTTGTTTCTGATTAAAACAAAGAATTTTATATGTCTATTTTTTAAATCTCTTGAACGTATGAAAAGTGAAAGGGAGGGCGCCCTCTAGTGGAAGACAAAGCACCCTAATGTACATCACACAGACTAAGCTTGCAGACTCATTCTTCACTCACCGGCCACTTTATTAAGCTCGCCTGTACAATTGTATGCACTTCAATGCAACACTTCTACCTAAACATCTGTGTTTCTGAAGCTCAAAATATTTCAGTTTTAATATATATAGAGGCACCTCTAAATATAACGTAGACCAGTACAACACCACCTTTAACTATGACT